GATTTATTGTTTGCCGCTTGTGACCGTAGCCTTAGTGTTGTTTTTTGTTTTCAAGGATTCTTCCCATTCCAAGCCGTTTCATGTACGTTCTAAAACTTGTACAATTGTCATTAGTTTCGCCAAGGAGATTTTTTAACTCATTGTTTTAGCCTTATTATCTACACCAGACATTAGCTTTTGCTTATTCAATATTTTTGTGAAGTCGGTCTAAGCCAGCATTCATCAGCAATTTCAATACTTGGCGCCAAATTGACCAGTCATCAATCAGCATTCATCAGTTAATAATAAGATTAAAAGATTATGCATATCTTGGATATATATCTGATTCAATATTTTTCTTCCAGTCGCTCAGACAGCATTCATCAGCAATCCTCAATACCTGTCGCCAACTTGATCAGTCAGCATTCATGAAATAAGATCAACAAAAAGCTGTCTTTATATAAATCCCTTATTAGCAACAAAACTATAGACAAATCGTGTTCTTTTGTCTACAAGATATATCTAATATTTTTTTCTTTTCCTCAAATTCCTTGTTGGACTTGTCTAACCCTCATATAAATGTACAATCATGTCAACCATAACCAGGAATGGGCGTCAACAAAAGGACTGCCTGAAGACAACAGTAGACTTTCCCTTCTCCGAAGAGTGGCTGTCAACACGGACTGTAAACTGCTGCATTTGTATATGAGAAATCGTATTGCAATTAATTAATATTAAGTAGCTCTCCAAGTCTTCCATGCCAACGTAACTACGATTGCCTAACAGAACGCTGACCCCTGAGCTGTCCATTTGTCGCTGACGCAAAGCTAGTAGTAGTAGTAGATTGGTTTATAAAAAAGAACCCAGTATTCACCTTATATTCTAATGGCCAAGCCATCCAGCAAGTCAGAGAAACAAAGCTCCTAGGCAGTACTCTTGATGAGTGCCTCACATGGGACATTCATACGAGGGTGACTGCAAAGAAAATGGCCTGTTCAGTGGGAATGATAAAGAAATGTGCCACCTACCTGGACTCTTCGTTGCTCAGGCTCCTGGTAGAATCCCTTACATTATCGTACCTTGACTACTGCTCACCAGTTTGGTCCGCCACTTCACAAAAAAACATTGATCTACTACAAGTCATGCAGAACAAAGCAGCACGCCTGGCTCTACACTGTGACTTTAAAACACCAGTAATACACCTCCATGCGTCTCTGTCATGGCAGACTTTTAAATCTGTCTCCGACACTGTTTAATTTATTTATAAGTGACATTACAATTGTTTTTGATCATGATTGCTGTAACTCCCCTGTTTTGCACAGTACGAATGTTCCATGTCTTTTATATGCGGATGACTTAGTCATATTTTCAGAGTCCCAACGCGGCTTACAGTCATCCCTATCTAGATTAGAACAATATTGCAAAACCTGGAAGCTAAAGGTAAACCTTAAAAAGACCAAAGTAATTGTATTTACTAAGGGTGGCCGCTTACCAGTACATTTTTCCTTTTTGTTTGATAATAATGTGATAGAAATAGTAGCATCCTATTGTTATCTTGGTGTCATTGTAAGCTCCGCGGGCACGTTCAAAGCCAACAACAAACACTTGTACAGCAAGGGCCTAAAAGCATTATTTGGAATAAGACAAACATTAGATAAAGCTGACGCATCATTAGCCGTTAAAAACAAACTCTTTGACACTTGTGTTAAGCCCACTTTACTTTAAGGATCCGAAATATGGGGGGGATTCAAAAACTTAAAATCTTGTCCAATTGAAAATGTACATTTAAAATTTTGTAAGTATTCACTCAATGTTCCTAGAACCACTTCTAACCTTGCTGCACGAGCTGAATTAGGGAGATACCCCATTCACCTGGAAGCCTCCCTAAACAGCATTAAGTATTTTATTCGTCTTTGCAAGGACGTGCCTGCCGGTAGTCTTCAAGCAGACGCCCTCTTGTGTCAAATAGAGTTAGAAGCTACAGGTACCAAGTGCTGGGCGTCTGGTATACGCAACAGTCTAGAGAAATGCGGTTATTCTTTCGTCTGGCAAAGCGTTCAATCAATCAGCTCAAATACGCCCCAAATTATCTCAGCAATTTATCAGCGTTTAAAAGATATTCATTTCCAAACATTCCTTTCCGAAATCCACAACGATAATAGAGTTGCTAATTCAAAAAATAAACTTCGAACATACAGATTATTAAAACACTCATATAACGAAGAAGATTATCTTAATATCGCAAATGTACGTCACAGATCTGCCATTACTAAACTAAGAATCAGTTGTCACAATTTGCGAATTGAATCAGGAAGACATAACCGCACTCCTCTAGAGCAAAGAATCTGCCAATATTGTAGTTTAGGTAAAGTAGAAGACGAGGTACATTTTATTGTGGATTGTTCCATGTATGACATTGCGAAAGAAACGTTCTTTTCGATTTTGTGTCAAGCAAATACTCCCAATTTAAGTATTTGAATAGTATGGAGAAATTTATATTCCTTGTAGTCTTTAACAAACCAGCTCTAACTACTCATACAGCCAACTACATTTATAAGATTACCAGAAAGCGAGAGGAAGTTGAACGTTCTTGTGTACTATAGCCGTTTTATTATCAACATTGATGATGTACTTTGTCAATATGTGACCTGTCTTTAGCCCAGTGGGGCAAAATGTACAATAAAGGTCTTCATTCATTTAAAGAAAGGCTTCTAATGAACACTGTGTCTCAGCCACAGAGGATCATCACCACAAACCAACCAGAAGTTCTCTACAAACAGTTGCATCCCGTATCCCACCACAGCTACAACACTCGCCACGCCAGCAAAAACACATACAGCCAAATGAAACCCAAAACAAACGCTTTGAAGAAGACTTTCACATACAGATCATTAGCAGTATGGAACAGCTTGCCACATGAAATACAAACAGCAACCAAGAGTAAGTTTAGGCAGGAGCTGGTAGGACACATATGTAGATAATTGGTAGGCACATGGGATTTGATTTTAACATGTAAATACATGTATATGTGTTAAGTTGTATGTTAAGTTGTATATTCAATTTTGATGTATTTTGTATGTTGTATAATGTGTATGTTTTAACTCCAGGAAGATTAGCTTCATACTGGTACAATGTATTTGTATGCTTGCTAATGGAGTTCAATAAAGCACCTAAAGCACCTATTATTATTGTTGCTCCACAACGAACGTTTACAGTCTCGCAGTGCACGCAGTAATGCGCACTAAATTGAACTGGTAAACATTGATATAATAGGTATTGACAAGCATATTATAAAATAGAGGTCGAAATATCACGATTAGTAACCAGGATGTGTACCGCGCGCAGACCTTATCAGCGGCTTCTAAAATACATCCACTATTTGACCAATCACTATAAAAACTTATTATTATCTCCATGAAAAATGGAGATATTGTTTTCGGTGTGTGTGTCTGTCTGTCTGTCTGTCTGTGTGTTTCCGCAACTTTGTGGTTAGCATAACTTAAGAACGCCTTTATGGATTGTGATGATGTTTGGTATGTAGGTAGGTCTTAGGAGGTCAAAGGTCAAGGTCAAATATTGGCCTTCTGGTGGCTGACCTGGTGGCTGACCTTGGTACTGCAGCAAAATTTCCGGTTTTGTATCTTTTTTCATGAACATGCTATGGTCTTAATTTTTTGGTGACAGATAGCTTTTCCTTTCAGACATAAATGGTGTGGGTTTGGACCCCCTAGCAGCTTGTAGTGGAACTACAGGGAGGTTTCTGGCGAAATCTTTCAGAGCAAATAAGTCCAGAAAGGAACAAAAATTTTAATGATCTTTGGTTTGTACTTAATTTGGACAGAGATGTACATAATTATATGCAAATTATGCAAACAAGAACTTAATTTGCATAATTAATGAGGAAATTATGTAATTCCAGTTTTTAACATCATAGGACTTTGATACATGTAATATATATTATCTATAGCAGGTGGAATGTCACCACATACGACTCCCTACTGGTAAATGATGGGAAGTTCATATTTGTGACATGTGTAAGTGAGTTAAAAGTTAATATTACCATAAATATATTATTTTAAAGGCCCACTATGTAACTCTTTGCGCCTAAAAATCAAATTTTCTGAATCGAACAAATCTTGTTTATATCATCATTTACTATCACTTTTCAACACTTTTGAGTCATTATTTTACATTTCTGCTGTATTTTGTTAGCGCACAAACAATCCGCTCGATGCGCGATCACTTCCGCCCCCTCACTGGTCAAGGTCAAATATTGGCCTTCTGGTGGCTGACCTTGGTACTGCAGCAGAATTTCCGGTTTTTGTATCTTTTTTCATGAACATGCTATGGTCTCAAAACAAACGCAACACAACAGAAAATTTTTATGCTTATGGTCTGACGGCAATTCAGCTTGTGCTTTAGCTCCATAAATAACAATTACTACTATTTTCCGCAATAAGTAAAACAAAATATGTTTAGGAAACACCAATGTCCATAAATTCGCTGGTGTCCAAGCATAGAAACAAGGTACTAGTAGTTGACTTTACAAAGCCAACTAATCAACCTAATCAGGCTAGCAAATGTCACATATCACAAGGCAAATCATAATGATAACAAAAGGAACAACAAAACAAAAACGAATGAAGTGATTTCTTTTCGCCTAGCGTGCGCCATTACGTAACTTAATTAGCAGCTGTCAAAAAATTCTTAAGACCCTGTTGTGAAAACAGCCACTTTTTAATGCAAATTTACAGCATTTCAAATAGGTCATGAGATTGCCTGTTACACAAAAGTAGTTTGCTGAAACGCTAAACAAACATGTCAAAGTCGTTCATACTGCTGCGTGTCAATCGGACAAGAGTGGCCTTCTAAACGGTAAAGAAAACAACGCATACAGCAGTAATAACTCATTTCAAAAAGTCAAGTGAACATAAGTTTCTATATTCACTAGTACTAGTCTTGTTTTGAAAGGAGAATGTCTACGGCGTCCACCCTCTTTTTCTCTTTGCCGTTAACCATCAGCACCGCGTAAGTACACTTGGGAGGTACCCAGATCGAAACACTCACTTTACTGTCCTTGGCTTTCTCCGTCTCAGCATTCCTCTCCGGAATCAGTTTACCGTGCGCGGCTTGGAGAGGGAGGGGGGCAAGTGCTCGTGCACAACGAACCTGTTCTTTTCCCGTAACTTCCTCCCCCCTTGAAGAACGCAATCCTTGTCGTGGTAGTTCACAAAACGGACTAATATAGGAGGATCGGGACGGGAAGGTGTAGATCTTGCAAGACGATGAACCGCGACTATAGGCATAAAATCGAGGCCGAGTTCGTCGGCAAGAAAATCCTTGAGTACTTGCCTACAGTTCTCTTCTCTCCTGTAAGGGATTCCGCGCATGACAACATCCGCCTTCACCGAGTATCTCTCAGCCAGCAGGCCCGCCTTGATCCTCTCTCGTCGTTCAGCCAGCAGGGAGTCGTTGAGCCGCTTCATCTCGTTGTCCTGGAACTCGGCGCCGCCATGTCGGTGGTGAGGCTGTCGTCTTTGGTATCTAATGTTTGTATATAGGACGACAGCTTATCCCCAACAGTATTAAATTCCTTTACCACAGTGTCCTGTTGTTTCTTTACTTGCGACATGATTACTTGTGCCAGTGTTTGTAGCTCTGGAGAGAGGGAATTCAAACTCACCTTACTTACGTCATCGAGTGGATTGGCAACCATTTTCAGCGTCTTGGGAGGGGGGTTCTGTTGACTCGGGCTGTTTTCCCCCGCACTTGAGCTAGAGGAACCCCTGTTTCGTTTTCCCATGAAACGAAGATCCAACGCAGACAGAGAGACAGTTTAAAGAGATTCGGATGGTCTGCGTTGATCAGAAGACGCGGGTTAACAGAGAAAACTCGGAGCTACAGACACACGTCACGCCACCACCGCCGCCATGTTGGAATCTTGTTCTTTGTGAAATTTACAAAAACCAGCAACAGTTAACGTTTAACCAATGCGAGGGTCTGTCACTTATGTGACAAAGCAAATTTTCTTTACGAGCCACGAGGTTTGCAATTAAATTAGGTTAGAACATCGAAAGCGCCCATTGTTCATTGATAAATGCTTTTTTTGCAGACAAGAAGCATCTGTCCATATGCACTCCGTCACTTCGAACACATCATTCCTCCTCCGTCTGTATGCGTCGTCATGGCGAACAACAAACGTAAATATTATGGGTCACTGTCCCCGAAATTCCTTGTTAGATCTTCCTACATTTTTGGCACTTAAAAGATACGCAGATACATCAGTACAAGGTTCTAACGTTGGTGAACAACAATTCTACATTTTTACAGTATTGTTTCTCATCATTAATGTTACGAAACAGGAATTGGAGAGTTTTCAGAAACGGTTGGAACATTTTTTTTAGAAAATAAGCTATTTGGTATGTCGTTTGTGCTATTCTTGGTGGGCGGGTCGAGTCTTAAGTATTTACAATGGACATCTAAACTGTAAACGCGGTATATATGATTGTCCAGAATGGCTTTTGTCCTTGCAACATTGCTTCTTATACAACCTGAGCCTATTGTATATGTACGCCTGTTTTACCCTCCTATATATATGTCCTTCAGATTTAAGGTCAAGTCTATCCCTGTACAGCTATGGGGGCCTGTGGATCGCGTCTGTATGCCGCGCCCTGCCTATGTGCCTGTCTGGTTGTTGACTTAGTGACCTTGGTGCTCCGCAGACGGGCACTCTTCTCGTGGTTGTACAGGTAAGACTTGAGCGCGAAGGCCTTGCCGCAACGGCCGCAGACGTAGGGCTTGGCGTCAGAGTGGGTCTGGGTGTGCGCCCGCAGGTTGGACTTGTCGGCAAACGCCTTCTCACAAATCTGGCACACGAACGGTCTCTCACCTACACAAGAAATGAACAAACAACAATCACCGTTAGTATTATTACATTTATGGACACCAAACAACAGACTGACTGCTTTTGCGATCTTGTAAAAAGAAAACTTGCGATGAGCTATAAATGGTTCAATCATACAATACATGTATGTCTAACTTTACACCAGGAGATATTATAAGATACTACTCTACAACAATCGTAGCATGTATAAACATCTTGCCACTGTTCTTTTCAGGTGTAAGATAGATCTTAATTTGACTCAGCAGCGATCATATTAAGATTGTATGGAGTTTACCTAACCTCAAGGATTCTCACAGTACTACATAAGTTTATAACACAACTAGCATCATAAAACATCAATGTTTCTATATCTATATCTGATCGTGACGTTCATTTCAACTACAACCCAAGTGTCCTCACCAGTGTGTGTCCTGATGTGCCCCTGCAGTAACCACGGCCGGGAGAAACACTTGCCGCAGTACGGACACTTACAGCTCTGGTTGTGTGTGAGGATGTGCATGGACAGGGCAGGCATTGACACGTACACCTGAAACATATCAACATGGAAGTCATCAGAATTGGTATCTAAATAATAATTAAGTAAATCTATAAAGATTCACTGAAGGCAACGTGGATTTTATTGAGAAAAATGTTGACAAAGCTTTCAATATGTTAGTTCAAGATCGCGAAAGTGTTGAATAAAAGCGAAACAATTATCAAAGTACGATTTCTAATGACTATTCTTTAATCATAATCAATTACATGTACTGACTTTCACCATAATCGTATCCAGCATCCACACACGGACTTTATTGTAAGTAAAACACAGGAAAACAATCGTTACCGATTATTCGTTTTTAATTCTAAGCATTTTTCAACAAGTCTCTTGCTCCTTACCTTGTCGCAGTGCGGACACTTCCTGGCCTTCTTGTCCTGCTGATCTCGGTGAGTCTGCCTGTGCCGGGCCAGGTTACTGGACGTGCTGTACCGCTTCCCGCACTCTGGACAGTCGTACGGACCGGTCGGCGTCTTCCCGCTCCGAGGACTCACGAAGGACTCGCTGTCCGACCGCTGTCTCTTGGTCTTCGTCTGTAGAGATAGAAGAAATCAAACAGATATTTCGATATTTATGGCATTCATAACTGCAATCGGCTACTTTCCACAAGAGGCCCTCTTTCGCTGACATTGGCTGATCGCACTATTCAGGACAAAAGAAGCGTGTACGTACGACATCCGATCTGATACTGAAACTTTCCGACCTAATCCTGTCAGTAAGAAACAAGCTCTAAAACACACGTTTGTTGGCTCAATCATTTCAAGACCGGGCTCTTTTAGAGTACTAGTATATACGTGCGGATTAATTGCGGAACGAAGCCTAAGGCCACGCCAAGCTAATTTTATGGATAGCGTCCGCGCGCGCATTGATTTTGGCCTGTACCCAGAAAAAACAACAAGAAACTCCGCTTCCTGTATCTATAATCAAAGAGTCGCGACAGTGCCGCAAATCGTCAGATTGACGTAAAACTCGTAACGTGAAACACCGTGCGCGAAATGTGTAAAAGAGCACATGTGCCGCAAAACGATGGTGTACGTGCGCACAAGAGTCTGACCGTTATAGTTAAGGTAGCAGTACACAGTTTTCGCCCTATGGGGATTTCTATAGTTAAGGGGCCCAAGGTGGGAAGGTTCGACGCTGTAAAATTTATAGTAGGGTGCACAAGCAAGTAACAAGGAATTAATATGTTTGGGTTCAGGGTACAACCTACAAAATATGTGAAAATCAGCTCAAGTTTGCCGGCTCGTTTTCCTATAAAAAGCACATTGATATGGCGCTTTTGCGGGGGTCATGTGAACTGCAGCCGCCGACGCACTAGGTCGTGGCAGGATCCAGGCGCGAATTGACCCCGGCCGAATAAACATCCTAATTCAAATTATGCGGTCTCAAACACGATGCTTTCCTCTACCATTCGGCACAGTTTTAACCTCGCTGCCCTGCACCGAAGAATCTCTGCAGCTTTCTCAAGTATTGTACCGCACTACTTTGTGCCCGTACTACTTTTGTATACGGGGTTCGCCCATGAATACTGTGTTATGCGCCCTTAAAAAGAAGCTTAGGCTATTGACATGCCCATCCTGTCAATAGTGGGAGATTTGCACTATTGCCAAGACGGACCTGTCAATAACAGAAAATTTTGCACTATTGACAGCATGGGTCTGTCATTAACCGAAAAAAATGTACTGTTGACAAGACAAGCCTGTCAATAGTGTAAAATTTTCTATTATTGACAGGACCGTCCTGTCAATAGCAAAAAAAATCCGTTTCCACTGTTGACAGGATCTAGGGTGGTCCTGTCAGTAACGGATTTTTTTCGCTATTGACAGGACGGGCCTGTCAATAATGGAACATTTTTCACTATTGACAGGATTGTCCTGTCAACAGTATATCTTTTCGGTTATTGACAGGATAGTCCTGTCAATAGCTAAAAAACTGTTACTGACAGGAAAAGTCCTGTCAATAACAGAAAATTTGTCACTATTGACAGGATAGAAATTAAATCAGACCTCGCAAAACAAAATACCCGCTAAAAACTGAGACTGACAGTCCGCGGCCTGCGAAAGCACGGCCGCAATGTTGAAGGCAGGGGATAAGTTTTCCCGTTGGGAGGATTTTTAAGGCGCCCTAGAAGAGTACCAAAAGACTCAATTTTTGCAGTTCAAATCTGTACCTGTATCATTATAGCCAGTTTAATGATGTATGGTTTCTAGGAGATTATTCTTAACAATTAACATGAAAGAAAGAATGAATGAATAAAGTTATTTTGACTTGACTTGTACACGAAGGTTTCGCACTCTCACTCAAGGCACTATTACTACTACTAGTATACTACTAGTAGGCAAGTATCACTTTACAGACCAATTTTGACAGAGAATTCTGGATTTGTTAATTAAAATGAAAATAATGTAGTTGGCCTGATACACTTTTATGTGTTTCGGAGACACATTAACGACTTATAGAGCAGAATCACACGTATTTGCAAATTCATAGTACAATGTACAAAGTCATGTATTTATTTAGCATGGAAACTTACGTACAACGGAAATGATGGGGCTTTGCTATACTGCAAATTCAGTTTCACAAGCTTTCAATTAGACCGACCGATTCCATTGTAAAACAAGAGTTCGGAGACCTCATATCTCCATGAAATATAAACTTAATATGTAAATGTACATTTCATCATTAATTATGCTAATTACCTCAACGTTAACATAATATATCTATGGTTTTATTAACTTAAAACTAACTTACACATGTCACTTATGAAACTCCTATCATTTACCATTAGGGAGTCATAGAAATTTCAGATTGATTGTGCAAATTAGGTCCTTATTTGCATAATTGGCATCTGTTGACATTCCACCTGCCATACATAATAATTTTGGATATTTTTTATATAATTATGTACATCTCTGTCTAAGCTACCTACATGCTAAAAATCATAAAAATACATTGTTCCTTTCTGGACTTATTTGCTCTTAAAGATTTCACCAGAAACCTCCCTGCAGTTTTACTACAAGCTAGTAGGGGGTCCAAACCCACACCACTTATGAATGACAGGAAAAGCTATCTGTCACCAAAAAAAATCATAGCATCAAAGACCATAGCATGTCCAAGAAAAAAGATACAAAAACCGGAAGTTAGTCAAGTCAAAGTTTATTGCACAACAATTGTAACCGGTACAACGTATGGCAGAAAAGATTACTAGCTAGTACATATAGTATGAGTCCACTAAAATACTACATTTATGTTCAGCAGGTACTATCTTTAACAGAATGTTGAGTAGAACTAATAACTAATGCATAACACATGTACATACTAGACTACGCTATCCTATACAATGAACAGTTGTGTGTGGACTCTACAGGTACTAGGCTTAACAGTGTTGACAAACATATTGATTAGAAACATATAAATGTCAAGATGCATTATACTATATAATTAACAAAGTATACAATGAAGTCTTGATTATCCACTAAGCAACTTTACATGTTGACGTTCTTAAGTAGTTATCTTGATATGTCTTTTTTGCATGGCAGTATAAATGTATTGGCCTAGATAAACAGAAATTGTCTCGGGACCTGACATAAGTACATGGAACACCTCTCTCGTTGTATTAGGTAATGTTTTTGTGGTCTTACATTTGATCATCTGCATTAATTTAAGTCTTTCTACATTGTATGTGGGGCAAGTCATCAAGAAATGAAACTCATCTTCCACACTATCCTTGCACATATGGCACAATCTCTGACTGGCTGGTATATTGTTGTGTCTGCCTTTTTCAATCTCGAGGCAGTGTGCTCCGATTCTTAGTTTTGTAATATTAACTACGAATGCTTTGTTTTGAACTGACAGGAGATAGTTTTCGATGTGAAAGTCCTTCTTTATTTTGGAGTAAGTTTCAAGCTTGTTAAAGTTTAATGCTGCAGTACCAAGGTCAGCTACCAGTAGGCCCACATTTGACCTCGACCTTTGGCCCCCTAAGGCACTATCCTCAAACCAAATATCATCACAATCCATAAAGTTATGCTGACCACACGTTTGCGGAAACACACACACACACACACACACAAATACACAGTCACACACACACACACACACACACATACACAGTCACACACACACACACACACACACACACACACACACACACACACACACACACACACACACACACACTCACACACAGACAAACAAACAGAAACATTTTTCATGGAGATGTCGACTAGGGAGAGATAACTTTCGCGCAACTGTACGAGAGACTTGCAGCTTTGTGTTTGTGCTTTGTTTTCTTTTCTAAATGCTCTTCAGGAGGTTCCGCTCTAAGTGTATTTTGTGCGCCTCCAAAATCTCCAGTGCGCCTTCACAATCTCTCAGCTCTGATGAAACAAACTGTAGGTCTCGAAGTGATCCTGCGCCTTCCCATCCTTCTGTGTACGGCCCTTACGCCGATAGTCCCGGGAGCAGAGTCTGTCTGGTCTGGTCCACCAAATGTTAGAAGCGTCCCTAGCTTGTCTTGCCTAATTTCTAAGCAGGTAGCCACCACAGAATCCAGTATCGATAAGAAAGACGTTAGGCATCCCACCGGCTTGCAGTACCATGTGAGCCAGATCCCTGATGCTATAGGCAGAGGCTAAACTCCAACAGACTCCGGTTTACAGGCTGAATAAAAAGTAGAAGTCGGCATCTGCATGTGCCTGTTTTCTGCGGTGTGCAACAAGCCTTGTTGAGGCGGCGAACCTACTGGCCTGCATATCGTCTGGCATAGCACGGCCTAGACTATATGTTTGGACACGGTGGATAGTCGGGACGGATGTGAGTCGGTCCGGTCTATCAGTCGCTTGCGCGCGGTCTATCACTCGCCTCTACCCGCAGTCTCACGTGCACGAGTCTGGCTCCCAGGATAGACTGTCGGCTTTCAAAATTAAAAGAGCAGGATATAGACCTTACCTTAGCACCTTAGTTCCTCCCGTGCCACTTATTTTATGGCACATCGGGCCGTCCGCTTCCACCTTGTGCGCTGTTGGGCCTGTGTTGTTGCTCTGTACCAGGAGCTTCCAACTGCTTCCAGATCCTTCTCCACATCAGCCTTCCAGGTCAGCCTTGGCCTGCCTCTGCTTCTCTTTCCTCCACATGGTTTCCAGTCCAGGATCTTTTTTGCCATTCTGTTGTCTCCCATCCTCATGACGTGTCCGAACCACCTGAATCTTCTTTTCCTGATCATACTTGCCACCTCTGTCTGATTCGTTCTTTGGTACACCTCCTTATTTGTGATTCTGTCCAAGTATGAGATGTTTAAGATCTTCCTTAGACATCTGGTGTGGAAGGCGTTCAGGCGTTTTTGGTCTGCTGCGTAAATTTGCCACGTCTCACTTCCATATAACAATATGGATATAACTGTTGCTTGGTAGATTCTAAGTTTGTTTTGTAGACTCAGCATGCCATTTTTCAGCACTTTCTGTATCCTACTGAAAGCTGAGCTCGCTTTTCCAAGTCTTGACAAAATTTCCGTGTGGCTGTGCCCGTCGGCTGT